TGCAAGTAAGTGACGTTGAAGACAGAGCCAAACACGTGCAAAATATGACCCTTTTGACTTTAATTACACTCATCCAATCTTTATGGGTTCCACTCCTGTTGCTCATACAGTCATGCCTAATGCCGAGCTGGCATTAATCTTTTGGTAAAATTCGGTATAAGAACCCAGTAGGATTACTTTTTCATTGGATTTTGGGCTTGGATCCACTCTTGATGGGCCGGATTATTTGATTGGATATAAAGAGAATATACCAGTCAAATATTCAGGCGATATTGTGATATGTTTGACTTGGCCAAACATCTTGAATCATATTTAATCGGTTACGATATAAATCTGATTAGTTTATATTAAATTAAGTAATTTATATTGTGTAGATTAAATATATATTAAGTATATATATTTAGAATTAATTGTGATTGATTCTGGATTTGAATTCAAATATCATAATATTATGAGATAAGGATATATTTATATATCCTATCTCAGATTTTATCTGATTAGCTCAGTGGATATTTTTAGCTACCCAAAATACCCCCAACAAAAGCTATAAATAGAGACTTCCCCCCATCAGTTCATATCACTCCAGTAGTTGAGCTTTCCTACTATCTCTCTCTTATTTCTTTCTTGCAAAGAGGTGCTCTGCTGTGCACTTAAAAGCTTAGACTTTTATAGCCTAGCTTAAGCGTGAGTTAAGAAGATCCGACCAATCCGACCCGAGATCCAACCCGGTACGTTTTCGATCCATTGTCTTATTATTCTAACATTTTTAATATAAGGTACCTTATTAGATTTATTATTTAAATATTTAATTTTATCTTTAATTGATTGACGACATCAACAGCGTGCATTAACAACTCAATGGAAATCTGTTGAGAAGTTAAGAAGTGACCGTTGACAACTGATTTTATAGAATCATATAACCTCCATATAAGATCAAATTATAACTAAATAGTAGCATATAACAACTTCAAAATTAAAATGAGAAGCTGTTGAAAGCCACTAATAACTTTAATTAGAGCCAGTAGGATTATAGTAGACTTTCGTTACAGACAACCATTAACAAGTTCAACAGCTTGAATTAACAACCCAACAGGAAGATGTTAACAATTTAGGTAGTATCCGCTAACAACTAACTTTATAAGATAACATAATATCCATATAAGATCAAATTATAACCAAACAATAATATAACAAATTTAACGCCGAAATTAAGAGTGAAGAAAACATGCAAGACTTAAAGTAGATATAATGATGGCTTTACATTAGTAATTTAATTCAGATAGCCACTACCAACCTCCACGGCATGTGATAACAAGTCCATGGTAACATGTTGACAAGTATAGCAAAATAGAAATATGACATTATATCAGATCATTTCCACACTTCATATATATCTGCAATATAGCTAGACCAATTTCACAACCTATCTAAAAAGACATACAGGTTGCATGTCTACTTAATGACCCATTAATTTGAGGTGTAAGTAATAATGACATTTACATAAAAATACTGTCACATACAGTCACAAAAAAACATAAAACAGCCATCAACAAAGCTTAACTTAGATTGGGGTTCTTGTAAGTCTTTATAATATGGCCTTAGCTCATGACATCTTTCTTAATGTTGAAGTTTTTTGTTTTCAAATTGAGATTCAATCCCCTATATAAAGGTAACAAAACATATGCTTCCCACTTGAAGTTGTCATTTTTTATATCAATCTATCACAAACACATGTCATTGACAAATTATCCAGTTACAATGACAACCTACGATGTTTCTATTAACAATACATTTAACCATCGCATAGCATGGGTTATGACAACAAAAATTTTTAATACTCTTTCTTTTTCAGTAGAAGCAGAGAATAAATTATCGAAAAATAGAGCATTATTTTATAACCCTAGCAGCAAATCACGAAACTACACCTACTATGATTAAGACCACATATAATTAAAATGGTCCACCTTTGATGGTTGAAGCGAGTTGAATCATTTACTAAATACCCACACACCTACACCCAATTAGCTTTCAAACCAACATTATACGTTCAAGGATTGTGAGTTCAAACTAGCCAAATGTTGCTAATAATGAGACCTACGAAGAAGATGAAACAAAGATATAACTTGCTTGAAATAATGAAGATGATGGAAATGGTTACAGAGCTCCTGTCCTTCTTTGTCAATCTTCCCTCTCCCATCCAGCAATAAAAAAAATGAGATGTGCCCTATTCCCGCTTTTTTTTTTCCAATTTATGAGGGCAAAATAGTCTTTTTACAATTATAATTTTTTTGCCCTTAGGTCTTTCTGGACTTAGGAACAATTTAACCATTTTTAGGGATTTTGGATGGAAAAAATTCTGTTTCTTGGGACCTGTGTCTAATTTTCCCTTCATTTTTAATATAAGTTAGGAAAAATAATACAAAAATGACACTTAAACTTAGAAATCCCAAAATGGTCACTTGAATTTATAAAATCCCAATTTAGACATATTGCCTTTTATTTTATTTATTGTTTTTCAAAAAACCAAGTACCCCACTGGCCAGCCGATCGCCGGAGCTCAGGTGGCCTTTATCAATGAAGCTCTAGTGACTGACAACAATTTTTTTTTGAAAATTTTTACAATTTCAGTAAGATGGTTAACAAGTTTTGCAATGTTATTAGCAAGTTCAGTATAACAATTACTAAGAGGTTTTCTAGAAAATTCAAAAAGTAATATTTTTACAACTTTAGTAATGCCGTTAGCAAATTCCGTAATTCTATTAACAAGCTTAGTATAACATTTAACAATAGGTTTTCTGGAAACTTCAAAAAAATGGTATTTTTACAACTTTAGTAACTTTTTTTTTTTTGAAAATTTTTACAACTTCAGCAAAACAGTTAACAAGTTTTGTAACGCTATTAACAAGTTCAGTATTACAATTAATAACAAATTTTTCAGAAAATTCAAAAAGTAATATTTTTACAACTTCAGTAGTACCATTAACAAGTTTTGTAACTCTATTCACTAGTTCGGTATAGCATTTAATAACAAGTTTTCTAAAAAATTCAAAAAATGGCATTTTTTTAACTTTAATAATACGACTAATAAGTCATGTAATGATATTAACAACTGTCATGACCATAATGACTGCCTAATAAGTGAAAAAATTTTGTTGTGCAACTTTCATACAGAGCTAATATTAAAAACATCAATCTTGATGAGAGTTGTTAATATCATTACATGACTTGTTAATTATGTTACTGATCTTGTAAAAATATCACTTTTTGAATTTCCTAGAAATCCTATTGCTCAATCAAAAAGTAATATTTTTACAACATTAATAATATTATTAATAAGTTTCGTAACTCCATTAACAAGTTTGGTATAGTGTTTTGAAACTTGTTAACTGTTTTACTGAAATTGAAAAAATTTTCAAAAAAATTATTGCCAGCCGCCGGAGCTCTAGCGACGAATTGTCAGCCAACTATTGGAGCTCGGGTGACAACAGCCACTTGAGCTCTAACAGCCGTCATAGGCACCAGAGCTCTGACGACCGGCCAGCCAGTAGGGGTATTTGGTTTTTTAAAAAAATAAATAAAATAAAAAGATAATATGGTCATTTCAGCAAATTTACAGATCACAAATTAGTCACTTATGCCTAAATTGGGATTTTGTAAATTTAAATGACCATTTTGAGATTTTGAAATTTAAGTGTCATTTTCGCTATAAGTTACCTTATTAAATTTCTTATTTTCTCATACTTTTCCTTAATTATATATGTATATATTAATAAAAACAAAGTTGAAAAATTACAAAATTTTAAGATAGAATTAATGGGATTTAATATTTTTCTTGATTCTAGTACAATATGTTAAAAATGCGTTATAAATTAAATCAGAAGATTAAAACACACGACAGGAAATATATAATTAGCAAAGATACAGTGTAGCATATGAATTATAAACTATACTCCTTTACAAATAATTTAATTATATAGATTTAAAATTTGATTTAAATTGATTAAATATAATAAATATGTAGGAAATATTTTTTTTAAATATATCCTTATTTACTAAGATAGTGAATGAAAAAAAGAATGAGCCGAAAGAACATATGAGAAAAACATAATTAATTTTGAATGAAAATAAAAAAAATAAATTAAATTTTAATAAGTACAATGAATAACCATTGGCCGTATTTGAAAAAATTTTAGTATATAGGACTCGGGGGAACAAAGTTTAGACTAAGTTCTTTTTCCCTATGAAATCTGTAAAATGGTACTCATCTCACATTTTTCCTTACCTTTTTTTTTTAATTAAAAAAACACCAACACGTTACTTGCTGCACACAAAAACAATATTGTGATTGGTTGTGTGTGTTTTAAAGTGGAAAACCTATAACTAAGTGACAGGTATCTATTTCGTTTTATTAATTTTTCGTTAATATTAACGTATTAGAATGAAGTTTGATGGCAGACACCATATATATATATATATGGAGCTCTCAATTATAAATTGATCGTAAACTATAAGAATCAAAATAAAAGTTAAAAATTAATTTTTTAACAAATTATAATAATAAGAAAATTAGTTTTCTTAGTTACATTTTAGGATCGTGGGTTTGCACATAATAAATTAATTTAATTTTCAAGACCAAAAATAATTACTTGAATATTTCAAAGATTCATGACAAATTGTCGAGATGCTAATACTTCTTTCTAGATGTTAATAAACATACAACTTACTTATATTTTTTAATTTAACAAATTTCCAGCGTTACTCCATGTGACCCAAATATAATGCTTCGAGATCTATGTTTTTTCTTTGGGTTTTTTTTCAAGGAAAATTTACCAGAAGTTTTTTATTAATAAAAAAATAAACAATACTGATTCTGAATTTTAAAAATTTTATAGTCTTTTTATTTTATGAATATTTACCCTAAGTTTAAATTTAAAAAGAATAATATAGCGTGGAAAGATTGTCCCACGCACTTGTTGTAGGCATATATAGGCAATCAATCTCCAATGAATTTGATTGCAATTTTGAAAAAAAATGGAGAAATTAGCAGTAGCGAGCACTATTGTGGTATGCCTTATCCTCTCACTGCTTTTCTCCAATGCCAATGCTGCCAAAAATGGCGGCAGCCACAACATCACTCGCATTCTGGCCAAGAACCCTGACTTCTCCACCTTCAACCACTACCTCTCCGCCACCCACCTCGCCGATGAGATCAACCGCCGCCGGACCATCACCGTCCTCACCGTGGACAATGCCGGCATGTCCGATCTCCTCTCCAAACACTTCAACATCTACACCCTCAAGAACGTCCTCTCCCTCCATGTCCTCGCCGATTACTTCGGCGCCAAGAAGCTCCACCAGATCTCCAACCGCACTACCTTAGTTTCCTCCCTCTTTCAGGCCACCGGAGCCGCCTCCGGCACCGCCGGCTATATCAACATCACCGACATTAGAGGTATGCAGGCTTCTTCATTTACACTTCAAAATTGAATTGAATGTTCCACGGGATTAGGACAATACTTCAATTCATTCCCATGAATTCTGTCAGACCGGCCGGTTAGTTTCCAGCTTTTACTGCCTTTCCTTAATTTTGAGTGAATTACTTGAATTGCCCAAGATGTTATCAAAATCTTAATAACGTCTTCATCAATGTAAAATTTATATAAGTTCCGTTAAATGTTAAACATAATTTACCCGCACCTTGTTTTATTTTTGTTGAAGTTACACAGATATCAGTTTTTAAGGGGGAAAAAACCTCTCGCTCTAAAGAAAAAATCACATAATCCTTTTTTTAAAAATAATTTTATAGACTATATACTTAATTTTTAAGTGACATTAGTGATGAATATTTTGAATATAGAAAAGAGACATTTACTTTCCATACAATTCATGAAAAATTAATGTGATTTTTGTTGGTTGAAATTTAAAGATGAATGTATAGTATTAGAATGGATGGATTCATTGATCTCATGAGTTTGATGTTTGAGCGGTGTGTGTGTGTTAGTTAGAATCCATTGTCTTTGTGGTGAAATTACACAGAACATTTCTAGATTTTGATGTATATTCTAAAACTCTTACTTAAAATTCAGTTTCCAAAATTTTGTTATGGTTACAAATTCAAAAAGTATTTGAGAAGTTTGTGTAATTTTAATAAACTTCTAGACATACCCATGTAATTTTCTCTCAACATTTGTTCATTGCTGATTTCTTAGTCCTGACCTTGTCATTTTGGTGATGAAGGTGGGATAGTTGGGTTCGGAGCTGAAGACAACGATGGATCACTTCATTCCTTCTACATAAAATCAGTGTTCGAAATCCCTTACGTCATTTCTGTTCTTCAGATCAGTCATCCTCTTTCTTCTCCAGACGCCGAAGCTCCCACCTCTGGACCAGGCCTCGTCAATCTCACCGTTATCATGGCCAAACAAGGCTGCAAGGGCTTCGCCGATCTCCTCCGTCCCTCAAAAGCCCTTCCGGCTTTTGAACACAACGTCGACGGCGGCTTAACGGTGTTTTGCCCCACCGACGACGCCGTCACCTCCTTCCTGCCCAAGTACAAGAACCTCACAGACTCCGAGAAAGAGTCGTTACTGTTATATCACGGCGTCCCTGAGTATGAAACCCTGCAAATGTTGAGGTCTCATAATGGCAGGATGAACACTTTGGCCACCGAAGGAGCCAACAAGTTTGATTTTTCAGTGAAGAGTAAAGGCGAAGATGTGATGTTGAACACCAAAATTGTCACATCCAATATAGTGGGCACGTTGATTGATCAAGATCCTGTTGTGGTTTACAAGATTGATGAGTTTTTGTTGCCCAGAGAACTGTTTAAGGAGGCGCCAGCAATGGTGCCCGCCGAGTCGCCTAAGCCGGCGAAGAAGAAGAAGAAGGCAGCGTCACCGGAAGAAGCTCACTCGCCGGACTCTGCTGACTCACCAGATTCCTTTTCGGATAATCAGAAAGCTGCCGATGATGATAACGGATCAACTGGGTCAAACAATGGCTTCGGCTTTATCACCCTGTTGGTAACTGTGGTCATGGGGTTTTTGCTTCTATAATATAACGAGCAAATTATCAATTAATCCATACAATTGAAGGAAAAAAATGGATATAAAAGTGAATTTCGGTTAAAATAAGACGCAACATTATTGTATCTATCTTCAATTATTAGAAGGGGTAAATGTGCAATTTGGTCTTGAAAGCACAAAATGCATATTTCTTGACGTTTTAATTTTTAGAGATTTATTTTTCTTCATTTGAGAAATTACAAACTTAGATGAGAAGAATAATCCTAAAAATTGAAATTTCAAGTCAAAATTCTGAGAGGATCAAATCGTGCGGTGTGTTCTGAAAACGCATCATAGGAAAGAATCTTGATGCGATTCAGTGTCGGCACAGATTTTTTTTTTTTTTTTGCCGTCTGGGTTGGAATTGTCAGTATACAGCTGGACATGAGAGATTCTTTTCTTTTCTTTGTTATTTTGATTTTGTTTTGTGAAGGGACACTCTGTGTTATCACTTTCCTTCTCTCTTTTATGTATTTTTTTAAAAAAAATCAGATTTGATTTGTCACTTTCACGGTGGATGGAATTCCAGACAGTATGAGCTGGAACTGGGCTTGTAGACAATTTTAAATGGACATATATCTCTCGGGGTGATTCTGTACTCAAAATGATTCTTTTATTTTGGCTAATTAAAAAAGATAGAGAATATATTCTCATTACTAAATCAAAAGAAACCTAAAAACAGAGTCAACAACGCTATAATAGCTTGAAAAAGGACTAGCATTAACAACGAAAATAAAATGAACAAATGAAACCAAATCCATCCCTGCAAAACCAAACCACCCTCTATCTAAGGAGGAAAGCAAGCCAGGCGGCCTCTAGCGTGACTTGATCTAACCTAGACTGTTCTAAAGGGAAAACTATATTGGAGGTACCTATACTTTCTCTCAATTTTTAATTTGGTACCTATGTGCTAAATCTTTAATTTTGCTCTATTAACATCATTAATCCTTATGTAGAGACTAAAAATATCAATAGAACAAAGTTATAAGAGCTAATGTTGCTAAAAAGATAAAATTAAATGTTTAATTAAGGGAAAAAACACTAGGTACCAAATTAAAAATTGAGAGAAAGTATAGGTACCTCCAATATGGTTTTCCCCTATTCTAAAATTATAGTAGGCCTAACTTTTTTGAAGGCCTGTTTAATTTAACAGGCTAGGCTTAGGCTTCTGAAAAAGCTTATAGGCCTGGCCTGACATGTTTATTTGTCTTAATTTTAATTTTGTGTTTATAGTTAATCTTATTCCAAATTTAACATATAATTATAACTTAATTTTGATAATAGTAATTGTCATTAATATTTAAAGTGATATTTATGACATTAAAATCTTAAAAAATAATTATTTTTTCAGTCTGCATATATATATTTTATTAGTTCATGCATTTTTAACTATGTGCTTGTTTAAAAAAATGTATTTTTAATTATGTATTTTGAAAATTTTAAAATTACAGACTTTCTTAACAGGCTAAGGCCAAGCTAGGTCCTTGTACAGGCCAAGCTTACGTTAAAAATAGAGCTTATGACAGGCCACAGGCTAAGCTCAGGCTGGTTTCTTACCAAACAGGCCTAGCCTGTAAAGGGCAAAGCCCGCCTGTTTCCACACTTGCCTCTAACCATCCCAAGCCTTTTCAAAGCCATAGCATTGAATTGCTCAAACCAAGAAGGAACCCCTTTTTTTTAAGCACATGTATCATACTATTCGAAGGAATTCTATTTGAAATATTGTTGAATACTAAATGTGAGTATTTTTTTTACTGTGGATTCAGTTTGCTACGTCGTGAGGAACTAGTTCTTTCCGTTAGATCAAACCTCCATTCACTACAAAAAAAGGAGAATTACCACACAAAACTCTGGAGTTTGCGGGACATTCGGGACGAAATGTATGCTAGCAACAGTGACAACGATATGCGCTTTGGAGGCGTCACTTGCTATGGAAAGCTAATTGACATCATTGAGTTGAGTTACCAGCTTTTCATCGTAACTCTGTTCAAGTGCTCCTGGGCGAATACGACAACTCTACGGGGACTCGCTACCAACCACTTAGGCATCACCTCTGTTAATTTCTCAAGACTTATTCATACGGGAGAATCTGAAGATGATGAGCCATATATTCTTGCTTCCGAGGCACACCAGGTTTACTATGTCGAGGATGAGAAATATAAAGACTGGAATATGGTTGCTCACCTCAAGCTACAGGATCTTTATGATATGGGTGATGGTGACATTATTTACAACAACAAACCATTCTAACCCTCAAATTTTGAAAACTTCTTTCCTCAAGGAGACGATAATTTGGCAATTATCATGTATATGTCTTTTCTTAAATTATTTAAATAATTAACTACTAATTACTAATTTTTTTTAAATATATTATAATTCTAATATAATTTTTTTAAATATCGCTTTTTAGGCAGGATGAAGATCAAGAATAGCAGTTTCAAAAATTTTTATCATTCAAAAAATTTGCCTTTCATAAATAAATATGTATAAATTAAAATTGGTTCAGTTTTTTAAAAAGTAAAAAATTACAATTTGTAGTGGTTACATAACTGCTACCAATTGTGAAACTGCTAGAAATACTAGCGGTTTTATAATACGATAGAAAATGTAAGGATGCTACAAAATGAATAAAACGCTGTAAAAAAACAGTACAAATGTCTTACTGATCTCTATAAATATCACATCACCTCTTCATTCATTTATCCCATCTTTTTTCCTTCCTTTCCCATTCTTTTTTATAATTCTCTCTTTTTTTCTTATTCTTTGATGTGGTAGTTTTTTTTCTCTTCATTATATGACGAGGTGATTATTATTTTATAAGTATTAATATCTTTTATTTGTTTTTATTTATAATTTACTAACATATTTATTTCTCTTTTTCTTTCAGATTTTTCTTCTTCACATTTGTCATACCTTCGTCAACTGATTCAAACACTTCTCAACATAACAGTTTAGGTTCAATATTATAAACTATCTTATCTTTAATTCATCTATCTTATTAAATTTAATTCACTTCATTTGACACAATCATAACTTAATTACTTATTATTCATTACAAAATTCAAATGTATAACATGCAATACATTAGTAATTATACATATTAACAAAAATTCTCTAATATAATCTACTTAATAGTTTTTAAATTTATAATATTATATTTTTTAATAATCAAACATTTCAATTTGTTTTTTCCACCTGAAATAAACTTTTTAGCGGTTTTCACATCGCTAGAAAATGAATAAAAGATGGACAAATTTCGTAAAATTGAAATACCCACCACATTTCTAGCGGTTAATAACCGCTAGAAATGTTTTGGCGTCAATTACAAAATTTTGATTCCATGTAAAATTTGATTTGCTCCGAATTTTCTAGCGGTTATTAATTTTTGTTTCCCGACAAAATGAAATTTCACTCAGAAGTTTCTAGCGGTTAATTAATCGCTATAAATTTTTCAGATCTTTCTAGCGGTTCGTAACCGCTAGAAATTTCCACTTTCGGTACTTGTTTTTTCTAGTGGTTATTTTAACCGTTAGAAGTTTTCTGGCATTTTGATCATACTGTGTAGCAGTTCACGTAACCGCTAGAAATCCCTTTCTAGCACTTGATTTTCCAGTGGTTTGTGTAACCGCTGCAAATGTTGTTTGTAGCGGTTATAACCGCTAAAAAAGTCATATTTTAACCCCTACAAAATACATGTTTTTTTGTATAAGAAGGAACCCATCTTAAATCATCCTTAATCTTCCCAGCAATATTCCTTAATGGGTCAACAAAAACACACCCTAGTAATCTCCCACAACTAAATGAAACATATTGAATCATAAATAGACCTCTATCACCCTTGCAAGTCCATTTCTTAATTAAAAAAAAAATTCATTAGCCAGAAAATTACTCACATGCAAAATTTGTCACACCTCCTTTATTATGTCATTATATAACAATTGAAACCCTTTAGGATCATTATATAAGACTTAAGTATGAGAAAACTCACAAAAATTTAAAACCTTTTCAAATTTCAATCCAGGTTGCGCGACTTGGCACCTCTAGGTCGCGACTTGAGGTCACAGAGGCAACCTTTGCTTCCAGGTTGTGACTTGGGATTCTCAGGTTGCAACCTGGGATCACATAAAGCTCTGAGCATTGTTCACCATTCACATAAATTCCTGTCAACTTTGAAAATTCATAACTAAATGTAAAAAGATCAAAATGGAATGGTTCTAAGCTCTATAGAAAGCTCTTGACATGCTTTTTAAACAAAAAATACTCATTAGCATCCATATCTCATGCATCAATCTCAGATTTCGTTCAAAGCAGCATTGTTCATTTGGTTATTTTTTAATTTTTTAGGATTTATGCCCAACATTAGAAGGACATATCTTTCTGTATAAAACTCCAAATTTAGTGAATTACCACTTGTTTTAAAGCTAAAAATGAAATCTATAAGCATGCTAAATTTCAAATCCAGATTCATCTAATTGTTCAACTTCTCATTGATCAAACTTGACCCCTAAAAAGTCAACTTTTATCCCTTAAGTCACCATTCTTGATTTTTCCTTTCCCTTTCAATTCATACCATTAATCTACTCATAATCCAAAGCTAAAGTAGAGCTTTTAATCAAATATTCACATACACATTATCATGGGTCATTGGTACAACTGTTCAACATAATTCACAATAATTACAAATATAGTTCAAGAAGCACATAAATCAATTTTCTCCCAAAATGATCTCCTTCCCCTTATGCTTGCTTAGTGCAACTCCTAGGTGGAGAATTTTGAACATAAAGAGTGATATTTCATAAAAATCTCAGTAGCAAAAAACTATAATCATCATGCAATCTATGCTATGTAAAAATGTGACATGTACACGTAAAATCAATATCATTATGCATCATTTCATGTTTATACTGTTTGCCATGGAAAGAGAGCAAATAATCATACCTTAAGCCATTCCTCATACATATTGCCAAGGCACATTCAACATATAATCTCATGTATAAATCATGGCAATATAAATCATATAACACATGCACATTTAGACAAGCAAGAAAGCAATCAAATTATGAGTTCAATGCTACCTTTTGGTTGATAAACCAACTCGGCCTCTTTGGAAAAGTTAGGTTCCTTCTTGATTCCTTGGAATGTTTCTATCAGTCCATGCATAAAC